GGGTAGGGTTAAGTTGAGACAATATAGGCAGCATATTCTTTCATCTCCACTTTTACTAATGGAAAATGCCTATTATGTTTATGAGTTCCAAAGAATGAGGTTGTAAAGGCATGATTAGTTGTCACGACAACACAATGTAAGTTGCAAGTAGGCTTTTTATTTTGGATGAACGTGTTCTGGGAATTTGATTTCTAAGTCCCGGAAGTTTTGAGGTTAATTTGATATGCCTTTTTTCATCATCTTGCACCTCTTCCAGATGTACTCCGCACACTTACAACATGAAAGTTCCTACAACATACATGCAGGCTGGACCTGGTCATGAGAAATGGATTTGTGAGGATTGTCTTTCAGGAGTTGAAACTACTCAGGAGGTCGAAGCAAAGACTTTGTAGCTGAGCAATATCAACTGTTGCCAAGTGCCTTTTTTTCCAAATCTTCACAGAACTGATGGCCCTGATGCTCTCTGTTGTCGGTCTTGCAAGAAGACCTGAACCCAGTGCTCATACAGAGCCGTATAGCCAGGAACTTGAACTTCTGTGACGTATAGCAAGGACTGGACAATGCTAGGCATTTTGGAACCAAATATGGAACTCAGTCTGCAGCTTCGACTAGAACTTTTCATCACCATAACTGATTTATTTTTAAAGTGTAAATCTTTTTGCAAAAATGGTTTTTGTTTCGGCACAATTATTTTTATGTAAAGAACAGTTAAATATAACAGCTGATGTTTAGGCCTAGAATTCTGGGGTTTTTTTGGTAATGTTTCAAAGTTGAACTGGAAAGACAACATTGAATGAGGACGAAGATCCAGTTTACAATCAATGGTAATTACCAAAGAAAGAAATTTATCAAAGCATTTTCAGATTGCTAGCATTACTTTAATCTAAAAGTAACTGAAATGAATGGTTTAGAAGTTCAGTCCCAACCATGCTTTGAATTTACATCCAATTTTATATCCGTGCTGTTAGTACAGTGCCCTCATTTTCATGCCCCAAAATACTGCCTTTTGGGATTTTTTTTAATGCTTATAATCACTACAGCACCTCTGAATAATTTATTAACTCACAGGTGCATCACCTTGTTTCTTTAAATTTGTGAAAGTGATCACACACTTATACATGTATATCCAAGATTTGGAAAAGCTGCAACTTGCGTTTGAAATGCCATTAAATGTTGCAGGGATGCTTTATGAAAGAATTGATATTTTAATAGTAAAAACAAGTGGATAGAGCATCGTTTCTTTTGGTTCATTGGCATAGCATTAAGTGACTGCAACTCCCATACAGATGGAGGCATATTCATTACAACTGCAGACAACCTATAACAAATTTCCTCTGGCAATCAGTACCATAGAAAAAGGTGGAGATTTTGACATCTGTGTTAATGCATCTCATGGTGTAAAGCATTCAGAGCGTTAAAGATATCAACTTGTGCTGTTTAGGTCAACTGTAGAGCATTTTGAAAAATGCAAATTTATCATGATTTAGAATTCCTCTGCCATTGTACGGGAACACTGAGTGAAGTGTTGAAGAGTGTTCTTGTAGGGAGGAATTTTTGGTCGTTTGGGCAAAAGAAGCCATGGTTTGGCCAATGCAGTCCATTATGACTCAGAATTTGAGGCAACAATCCTTTGAAATCTTGTAAAGTCACTTGTGGATATTGGAAATAAGATAGAACAAAAAAGAAAACGGTATTATTAAATAACGTTGACATTTATCTCTACACAGTTAACTTGTCCTTACTGCAGTAAACTGAAGTCCATGTGCTACATTTTGCAAACAAGATCGGCAAGACTACATGTCCATGCAGGTCTTTTACATGTATAGTACATGTACAATAAAATGTTCTGTGAAGACTGACCGGTCGTTATCAATCTGATTTATAGTTTTATTTTTTCAATTTGGCAGTCAGTTCACAATTCTGAAATACGCTCATTTCAAATCCCAATTTTCAAAAAAATCAGTGTTAATTAACCCTTTACCAAATGTGACTTATTTCTCAAACAGGCAATCCAAAAATTTAAGAATAGAGATGTTATTGCATAAATTTCATTTCAAGGATTTGGTCAGCAAAAATGTGTCAGTTTGTAAAATTCTAACCAAAATGCTTAAAAAAATGCTGGAAGGAAAATGTGACAAGTTACTGGACATTTCTTCAATTTCAATTATTTCACTTGCAAGATATAGATTTGGCAAGATAGCAATGAAATAAAATGAGCAAAACTGACAAATTTAGTAAGTGTCCGAGCGAGGGAATTCATATTTCGTCTCTGAACTGGAACTTAATGTCCACAGAACCATTTAAACATGAGCAAAATACGGTAAGACAGTTTGTAGCTCAAATGAACATGTCCAAGGCAGAATACGGAGGTGTTTGCTTTCATTGACACATATGTACAAAATAAATACTTTGTATTAAATGACAGAAAGCTGTGGACCATCCTAACAATTAAACCTCGGTCAAACAGCGCATCTTTACGTTGAAATCTGTGACTATAACATCCATTTCAGACAGGCATTCTGGGGTCATGCCAAACCAAATAGAATTAAGAGCGACTCTGGTCGACCCAATTAAATGTTAGTTTCCAGACAGACAAATTTAATACATACATACACATTTGCAATGGGTTTGGCCTATGAAAAGATTGACGTCTGAAAGCAAGTCGCTCTGGTGTCGTTCCGAATGCTTCAAAGAATTGATGATTTTTTGCCTGTTAGTATGCTCGGTTGCTCCTAATTGTTTCAGGCATTAGACTTTTTTCATACTTAATTCAAACTTGCTTTTAATTTGGTTCAGCATGACTCTAGAACGCCTGTCTGCAACGAGAGTAAATGAACCAAAAAGACAAAAGTAACACCTTGTGCTGCCAATCCACTGAGACACTTGTAGAAGTATACATGTACACGAATGCACTCTCTTTTAGGCAGTATTGCTCAAATTGCCGAAATTAAAGAACTATACCTCTAAACCATAAAGAAGTGAAAGAAAAAAATCCTCTTCAAATTTTCTGCCAAGGGTAAACTTGCCCCATTTTGAAAAACAAAATTACGACTGGGGAGTGTGGTAGAGTTGATTGAGTCGGAATTTCAAATAATTCAAAGCAGACATGGGTGGGTACTTGTTGCTCTTGTCCACACACTCGATGATGGCATCGTTGTCAGGGTAACCAAAGAAAGCGATGGACTGACGAGATTTCTCCATTTCTTCTGGTGTGTTGTCCATAAACACACAGTGCTTCTGAAGTATCAATGCACGGGAAAGCAAAACGGACATTTCTTTGCATTATTGCATGTATGCTGTGACTGGTCAAAACCATGTGGAGGGACTCGGTTTGGCCAGTTAGCTACATGTAATGAACCATTTTTCCTCTCAATTACAGTCCAAACTTCAAGTGAATAAGAGTATAAGGCTTCACTGAAATGTGGTGTCAAGTCTACGCCGTGTACATGGGGACACAGATGTTAACAGAGGCCTGTATAAATAGGGCTTATAATTCATTTACTTACAGTGGCAGGGTACATGTCTGAAGTCCATCGTGCCATCAAGCTGCCAGTGTTGATCAGAATACCGGCCTCGACCATGGGCACTTTAATATAACTGCCATCGATATTTCGAACCTGTGCAGTCCCCAGAAACAAACTCATAATTTCAGGAGGTATTTCAACAAAGATTGTACGTTGAAAAGCTGAGCTTGCATGTTTTGTGGGGAGAGGGGAAATCATGTTTAGCCCTCATCATGCTCAGCTAAAGCCAACAAGGTATGGCAATAGACCCTTCTATGGATGTATGCATGGCTGGTGGGGAGAGGCCTATGAGAACTTTTACCCACACAATAAGTTGTGTTGGAAACTATCATTGCTGTGGACAAAAAGTTGTCTAAAAGTCCATGATGATGACATTAGGATGATATCCAGCTCCCCTTACACCCGTCTGTGAATCTGCGGCCATCTGTTTACCAACACAGAAGCTATAAAAGCAGAACTTGACCAAATTCTGCAATCATTCAGAGTTAACATACCAGTAATCCTGGTGTTTGTTGAAACAGAAGTGTGACTGAGCCAAAGTCTGAGTGTTCACCACATCGCACCTGCTGCTCCTTGACCTTGAAGCTGCTGAGTGGAGGGTAGTAGAGTGTTCTCAGAGTCATGGCACTGTCTTTCCCGGCCTTCTGGTGGTGCTTTACAAAGTACAAAGGGTCCTATAGGCAGAAAAGGTATTCGTAAAGCTAATATTAATTAGCCTTTAGAACTCTGCTTTCTTTAACATCAGCTGAGTTTTGGTGAGCTAAATTGAAGTAAATGGGAGCCTATAGACCTTTTTCCTGTGATGTCACAATTGTGCTGGACCGTGATGTGTTGTGATGGTAATCTACCTATTCAAGATAAACTAGTCAAGCATGCAGTGTTCGTATGTGCACTTGCACCTGGTTGAAACTGCCCATAGGAATGTATGCAATCACACGTGGCCACGGTGGTCCACCATGGTGGTATTGTTCCATCTCATGCAATCAAGTAACATGGGTGAAAAAGGTCGATATGTAATATCAATGCCATCTGTTGGCTGGGCAAACCACCTCCAGCGGGGCCTAGCCTGACCCGACCCTGGGAAGGGGAGGGGGTTTCCCTTATTTTTTGGTAACAGAAAAGAAAAGGACCAAGTGACAGGAAGCCTCTATGGAAATTTCAAGTTAGAGGGCTAAAATGCATGTATGCATGCTTATGTGTACTTGTACATGTTCATACCTAGTACATGTAAGCAGTCGTTTGTCGTGTGCTCGGAAGAAGCTCGTAAGCACTTACGACCTTCTTCTGGGAAGCATAATCGCTGCAAAAAATATTCCTGACAAAAGAACGTAGGTAAGCCACTGTTTCATTTTAATGAAATATAAAGATTTCTTTGCAAATAGTTCCAAAAACATCTCCCAAGTCGTTTGATAACTTGTTCAAAGGTTGCTTTTTGCACAGCCTGTGTTGATTTTGTATTAAATTTTATCCATTTTTGCTAAATAAAGAGAGTGTGTTTCTTACGTGCTTTTACCGGGAACATTTTTTTCTACTGTGATCATGCTTCTGGGCAAAAGGAGGGCACACGACGTGTTGATATGAAATGTATAATATACATAGCCTCTGTATGCTGAACAATGCCTCTCCCTCGGTTTGGTGTTAGCCTCTTGCCCCCCTAGTAAATTTGATACTGACATTTTGGAATGCAGTTATTTTAGGCATAACACAGCGATTCCAAAATGTTGAACTTACGTGTAAGATCAGAATAGAATCTGTGTCACACTCTCAGGTTGATTACTTTGCCAAAAACCAAATGCCACTCTCAACACACTCTACAAAAAATGTAACCAAGCCTACCTCAAGTTTGAGTCCATGTGCCATGATCTCCAGGATTCTGTGACAAAGAGGCAGGCACAGGTCAAAGAAATCACACATCGCGGTCTTGAAGCCAGGACAGTCTGATTCCAAAGGCCAGGCCTATACAGGAAACATTGAAGTCTAAAAACGATGCATCAATTCAGTTGTATCTTTTCAGGTGTCCACTTTAAATTACACCTTATCCGTACGCTAGCTGGCAATCGTAAGCCTAAAATCCTTAGCAAATTGGAACACAAAAGTTTTTGTCCTTGAGTTGAGTTGCAGATTGTTTTTACAGTTGAAATTACGTTGGAAATACGTAAAAAGTGGTAATACAATACATCACCAGTGGATGAGCTTCATTTCAGGTTGCATTAAAGAGAAAATCAATAGAATAACCATGCCGCTACCAGGTATAAGTTACATGTATCTTATTGGGGTTATATTTATCATAAAGCACCCAGAAATGAAATCATTTTGTTAAGAAATTAAAATAACCTAGTAAACATGCACGCATGTGAAGGAACACGTACCACCAGCAGTCAACTCGTTCTATCATGTCTGTTACTCTAGCTACCAATTAACTTTTAACTTAATATCTGGTGCTTTCCAGCTCTCCCCTAACCATACTTACAGCACCTGCTGTTTGAGGGCAGTAGTTGAAATTTTCTTTGAGGTCACCATGAGGTCGGTCAGGATTAGTGCTGCAGTCACAGGGTTGAGAAGTGAAAAGGGCACAGTGAGGGATAGTTTATTTTATAATCTGCTGTGCACCAGTGGAAAACACCAGGCTGATTTAACAGAGCTACTATAAAGAATATATTACGTCTGTAGCAATGTCCATCAAATGGTGGGTCACATTAGCTATGGGACAGCGCATCTTGTGGCCATGAGCAAGGCATTTTACCACAAGTAAAACTAGCTAATCAATCAAATATCTACAAGGGCATCTGGTGTTATAATGATTGCCCTTGGGTTTTTTTATAATCTTTATTTTATTGTTCCATGCACTTCATTACTCTTCAAGATCCGTGGATTTGTGTGAAATGCACCTGCAAACACATGTGAACTAGCTTAATGTAATATGTACATTGTATTATTAGTAACAAAAGTCTTCTTTGGTAACCCAGAAATATAAACCAAACCACAAAAAAGCTTGATGGCAGGGGGAGGGGTAGATTTCTCCCACCTTATAAAAGGTAGTCATTTTCCCCCCCCCCACCACTTTATAGGCCTACCAGCCGTTGGAGGCACATTGTAACTTCATAATTGTATTCTTTTCAATCTAATGGCCAGCGCTCCCCTCCCCACACTTTTAAAACCATTCTGATGCTGTGGGGGGGGCACTTTAACCCCTCTCTTCCCAGAGAAAATAATTTGAGAAATTAATAATGAAAAAAAAGTCCCCCCTCTGAAAACTGCGGCTGAAGCCCATATTCAACCTATTACTTGTATGAAATATTTCAGTAAACACTACTGATAACAGGACTTACCACTCGTTGTCTACTTTCACGTAACCATGGGCAGAGCCTTGAGGGCGTGGACATTGAAGCTTTACTTCAAGAGGCAGATCAAAATATTGCTTAGAGACCTTGTACAACTCCTCCACCTGTTTTCAAAAAGAGTATGAAAATTGGTTCTCCAAGGATCGTGAACCAGTATGGGTCAAAAGTGTCAGTCCCAATAATTTTAGAGACGGCCCAAAGTATAGTTCTTTATCACCTTGTCCTCAAACCCAGTTTGGCTAAAAGTCAAAGTTGTTTTTTCTTCCCCCATATCCTGTACCAATTAAGCGTTACTTCATTTGAACCAGGAACTGCATAGCCAAACGGACGGAGTAAGTGCCCGTATTGGTTCACTTTCTTGCAACTATGCCTTTTCAGCAATTAATTGTGCAGATGATGGATACTATTTTGGTACTATTCTGTCCTAAGTATAAATGTAGACATAATAGCCAACAACCCCTTTTGATCTACTCTGGGGCTTTTGGTGAGGAAGAGAGGGCATCTATATATAAAACCTAGCTTTTATGGCCTTTCTGAGTAGTGAAGCTATATTTTGTGGCTTTAAGCACGTCCACACCAAAACAAAATTCACCTTATCCACGTTATCTCTCATTCTCCTCCCCCCCCAAATACAAAAGAAATGAAGGAGCTCCTTGGGGGAGAGGGGACATGGCCATATCATCGGTCCCCCTGGATCCACCCTCACCCCACTTTTGATTGAGTTTCTACATGTAGCTAGAAACTGGATCAACACTTGGTGCAGACCTTATCCTGAGGGAAGTCTGTGTTGACAATGAAGAAGAAGCCAATGGTCGTCAGCGCATTGTGTACATCATCAACAAGCTTCTGAAACTGACTGGGGTCAGGTTTGTCCAGAGACAGACGGTAGGCGCTGAAGTCAATGACAGGAATCTCAGAGGATGAGTCACCCATGATCAGCTAAAAGGTGTCTTGTGAATAAAGAACAATGTTTAATACATTTGTGACAATTTTCAAAAGTATACGGTACGCGGTTATTTTTGTAGGGCAGGAGACAATCTCAGCTGGTGTATGCGATTTACATATACCCTGCCCATCTGCACCGTAGCTGACTGATCGGATGGGTTTCACATAAATGCCAGTGTCCTATCCTCTTCATCAAGATTGCTAATTTATTGATTATCAAGAAAAGAAAAATGAAGACCACCAAATCAATATGGTGAGTTGGCAATCATGCTTGCATATACATGTATCACTGTTAGATCTAACCATGCATACATATACACAGAGCACTGAAAGAAAAATGACATTCAACTGAAAAGTCTGCAATAAAGAAACATATGCAGAACCTCAATTAATTATAACCTGCCTCTGTTCTTGTTCACTCGATCAAGCTTGATCCTGAGAATTTTGCAAAGCTATGTATTGCAGATGGTGATGCAACTTGATGTATAGATAATGCAGTATTACATGCTCACACAATCAGACTGCAGTTGGTTCAGTGCAATGTAAACATGTATGCTAGTGTATGCAGGCCTTATGCCACACTCAATGTGTACACAACACCTCCACAAGGCCACTTGTTACAGCTATATGTGTCCCAACCTGTTTACGCTGTATATGTGACAATGGCTTTCTGTCGATTTGTACCATAGAGTGACTTCAACCGTAGAATCTATATATCCCCAACTAATGTTTTGGAGTGGGATTCAAAGATCAAGACCTCAGTGTGGCTTGACAATAGAACAAGTGCTCCAACTGTGCAAATTGGCTGTTTCGGAGTGGGAAAAATTAGGCAGCTTCAAGGAGAAGCACTGGCTACAGCTACAAGAGCTTGGAACAGGAGAGGATCTATAGTTGATACAGGTTAATAATTGATGCATAGACAAAAACGGTGTTACAAACAACAATTTTTTAATGGTCGACTTATCCATATGGATATTGTTGGGAAGTCATATATTGGTCCAAATGTGGCCCCAACTCGTAGCTCAGCTCGCTCAGTTATTAAAATCACAAGAACACCCTGAGAGTGGTTATTTCCAACCTGTACAGACTGGCTTGTACATGTAGTTCACACATCATTAAAAAGGCAATGCGTGCATGCATGCACCCACGCACAGGGAAAGATTATCACAACATTAGAAATGATGCACTAACCTTACATCTAGATGTGGACCCCTGGACAAAAGAGGCCCGCATAATGAAGGCTGTAGGAACCTGCGGACTTAAAGGACAGATCCACACAAGGTTACACCCCCCTTTCTAGAACAGTTTTATGAGCATTGTGCAAGGTTCAAATTATCTGAGGAAAACGGAAAAGGTAGATGGCAAGACCAACAAACATCCAGCTTCAAAGAGGGTTCACTTTGCAAAGAAAAAAGTATTTTCACCAAGTTCTTATGGTACATGAAAATAAAAAAATGTCCACTCTAGGTAGTAGGTAGCGTAAACATCTACCTGTATGTGCACAATCTCAGCAGGCACGGCAGGGTAATATGTCTTGATATAATACCTTGTCCCCTTCCTGTTCAATTTTTGGAACGCATCAGGTACACTCAGTTGCTTTAACTGCGTGGCTGTTTCTTTGAAGTTAGGTGCACCGGCTTGATTCCGTGCGTCTTTACTCAAACTTTCTGACAAAGATGTGCTGTGCTTGTCTTCATCGTCTCTAATAACTAGGGCTGTGCCGAATAGGCGAATAACCGAATATTCGATTGATTGTCAAATATTTGAATATTATTTTTCAAATTTGAATATTCGAATGTAAAATTCATGAAAATGAAGGGAACTTTTCTTTTGTTTTTAAATAAGAAAAATTGCACAATGGAGGCTTGTTTCAAGCAGATTCAAATGAAAAGTGTCAGAAATCTTACAAAGATTTAAAACGTAAATTATTCGTTAAACAATTTACAAAATACAAATTTCCAACAGTACAAGGAGTCTTGTTCATCTCTTCATCATGCTAAATTGTGACTGAAGATATTCCTAGATGTGAGAAGCTATTATATTGATCATAATGTACAATTGTGTGTGCTATTGCAACTGATTTTATATGTGGTTTGTTCATCAACAATCTGCCGGTCGGTGCGACCGAATATTCGATCAAATTGAAGGTTGAATATTCGAATAGTAAGTTATTTGAATTGACTCAGCCCTACAAATAACTACCACCTGAGACTGCATATAGCCAATGTTTCCAGACATATGTCTGTTATGCCCCAACTATAGCGTTTGTCCCAACTATATACTGTAGTGCTGCAGTTGGGCTGACCCAACTATTGTCGACCAATTTCTATAAAGAATTTCTCAACCTTATCTAAGTTTACGCATCTAACACCTGATACAATTCATCTAAAATAGGCACTTCGTCTATGACATGACATTGTAAACCATATGACTTTGGTACATGCTGGTTAAGCACATGCAGTTGGGTGGGCCTAGTTGGATCGATGGTCCCAACTATAGTAAGGGCGTAGCGTCTACGTTTATGTACACTGCCGGTGAGGGCCCTCCCCCATAAATGAATCTATTTATGGGACTACCGCATGACACATAAGAGGACAAATTAGGATTATCCCAGCTATTTTAACCATCAAGACCAGTAGACCGACAGCGCCTGATAAATCACGTGACCTATAGTGGGTATCGACCCCATAGCAACGTGTGTTTTGAGTGTTGTTTACAAACAATACAGCCAAGTTACGGTACTGAACCAGCACATCAACAGTCTGAGTAGGGAACCTACCGTCGGCTTTATGTTTGGGTCTGTTAGCCACATCCAACAACATCACAGGGGCTGCTCCCTTATCACCTGCCCTGACTCATGTACAGATGTAAGAAACAGGGTGTCTAGCCTAAACCATAGCCGCTTGAACATCTACAAACTGTCATCCGCACTCTGTATACTTTTTCTTTCATTGAAATAACACTTGATTATTTTATTTCTCAAAGCATTTAGGCAATGGTATACATAGTCAGTACAACACAGATTTGATCTGGTGGACGGAACTAGAAAGCCATTGCCACGTTGGTGCCACACTTGTGAGCAGGTGGTACTTATATTAAAGCCCCCCCAATAAGCTATTTGCGAGTTAAATTTGAATAAACTCTGCCACACTGAGTTATCTGACTGCACATACACATAACGATTTGAATTCCCCGGACAAAAGGCACTGTTGCTATACCTCGTGGTTCGGGGCAAGCTTTTGCATAGTGACCACCATCTCTTGAATGGACTGGTTCCTTTGTGCCCTTCTTATCCATTGAGAACAGTGTATTGTTGCAAGGCGTCTCTTATGTAACTAAGACAAAGCTTGCCCCGAGGTATAGCAACAGTGGTTTTAGTAAGGAGAATTCAAGTTAATTGTTATGTTCACGTGAATTTAAAGAACTCAGTCTACCAGATTTGGGTCTAAGTCACTTGATGCATGATATGTGGCAAAGGGGGACCCCCTCTCTATTGTGTCTTCTTTTGTGTTGACAGAATCTTCGGAATTCCTTTCAGGCAATAGCCTTAGGGTATATAGCTTGAGCATCTCATTAGGGGGTCCCCCTTTGCCACATATCATGCTGGGTATAACCAACCGGATTTTACGACTTGCTCAAATCTTTAAGTTCAAGTTTAAGAATGTGCACGAGTGTGGTTCCAATGAAGTGTTGTCATCACCTTAGATTAGTCTCTAAGAAATGAAATTCTTTCTACACTGACATTACCTTCCCTCATATACTTACACGTCAATGCCTATACATGTACCTTAAAATGATACTTTGAGAAAAAATGTATTAAGTCTTCAGGGAGATATAAATCATTTCAGTACGTAGCGCTGTTTTAATTGTTACAAGACATGAACTATTACTAAAGTGGTCTTAATATACCCTTGATACAAGAAGTTTGGAACCAAAGGTCAATGAGAAATTATAACACCATTCAACCAAATGTACATGTATTTGCCTGATAAACAAATGCGATGTTTCTGACATAAAAAAAATCGGGTTGAATGTGCCTCCAAGAATACAGCGAGGATTAAACTGCAATGAAATAATGAGATATAGGCAACTTGTTATTCCAATTTAGCGTATCAACGGATGTTAATAAATCTTGCTGAAGATCATGTTCATGTAGTCCAAGCTGGTAATGGGTGGGTACTTGTTGCTGTTGTCGACACATTTGATGACCGCATCATTGTCTGGATGACCGAAGAAGACTATCGACTGACGTGAAAGTTTCCGCTCCTCTGGGGTCTCGTCCAAGAGCACACAGTGTTTCTTGAAGACAGAACAATTTGAGAAAAATGCAGTTTATTTCCAATAACTCCAATATATTCAGTCAGAGTTGAAATCCAAACATTGCAACATGACGAATCAATAATGAGCCAATCTTAGGTCATACTGTTTCCAGTGAAATTGCAAGCTACTCAAACGAATGCAGCCATATCACTGTTTGTGCCCCGTTGCTTCAAATGATAGTAACTAAACTTCACATTAACTCATGATCGGCTCAATTTATAGAGCCATGCACCCAAGATGCTTCTCCTCCCACAATGCTCCCTTCATCGTTCCGATAGCTGTTGACTTACTGCAGCAAGGTACACATCTGCCGTCCAGCGTTGCATGGTGTCGCCAATGTTCACCAGTATGGCACCCTCTACCATGGGCACACTGACATAGGTCCCGTCACGTTTGCAAACCTGGATCAAAGGGGAAACAAGAGATAAAACAGTCGAACAGCCCCATTACAAGTCTGCTGTCCAAGACTCTTCATCTCCCAGAATATTATCCTTCTTTGACTATTTTGGCTTTCCATGCCCCCTTGAAACTTGGCATGCACATAACGACATGCAGAATAAGTACATCTGCACAAATTCAAGATTTTGTTTGGGGGTCATTTATAGTTTATGATCTAAAGCGCGTCGACCCGCTTGTTTCAATACATCTATGGGAAAAATTTGTGGCTGTTTGGGAGAACGGTGTGAACAATTTTCATAAAAATGGTATGAAAATAATCCAAGACATTACTCGAAAAAGCTTGAAGGCTCGGTGTGAAAAAGAAATTACACTGTGACCATATCAGAGAAAATGCAGTGGGGGGGGGAAGGCAAATTCGAGGGAGAATAAAAGAATACCTGTAGTCCCCTTCTTTGTTGGAACAGCAGTGTGATTCCTCCACCGTCGGAGTGCTCTCCTAGCCGTACCTGTTGGTCTTTGACGGTGATGTCTTTCAGGGAAGGGTAGAAGAGGCTTCGTAAAGTCATCATACTGTCCGTCTTGGGTTTGGAGTGGTGCTTCACAAAAAATAATGGGTCCTGTAGACAAGACATCCAGTATAACCCTCCTCTTCAGGTCATTTGGGAACCCACAAAAATGGGTGTTCAAACCGTCTTTCAGAAATTACGAGCTCTTTGTTTTCAAGTACTTCTCATTTTGATAAAAATAGGGAATTACGTAGGTGAAAAATGTTGCGGGTTCCAACTGGTTTACAATGGGGAAGATTCTCTTAACCGCTTGCCGCCGGGTAAAACAGTCCCTTGGATCACAAGCTGCCGCGCGGTGCTTTATGATTTTGACTTTAACATTCGTATTCACCATACTTGTCACCATTGTTATGTCTATTATGGTGTTATATAACGGCTTCTTTGTTTGCCTTCAGCCCCCAGGAATGACAAACAATGGGCGGGCTGGACGATGCATTCGTCGGCCAGGCTGGCCTAGAGCCCTGTGGTCCTTCATGCCATTGTACTTTACAATACCATTACAGCCTATGGTGACTCATAGCAGTCATTCCTGTCCCCAACTTAGGCCACCCGGCTGTGTGAATTAGAAGAACGTGCTCACATTCGGGGACACCCAGCTCTAAGTGGATAAAAAGCCTGGCAGGACAGTGGCTCCAGTAACTTGTGACTAACCAATTTACTGCATCCACGAACTGCAGTAGCTATGACACATTGAAAAATGCATGCAGAACATCAAGACCTGCCATGCACTGCCTTGCCATGAAAAATAACATTTGTGTGTACACATACTTATCAGCGGGTGTAACCAAACAAAATGAAAAAAATTGTATCAGAAAAATGTCGCTATTTGACAAAAAAACTATGGAACAGTTTTTAATAATCTAGATACTGAGTACACAATTAGCTCTTCATTTCTTGAAAAATGTTGCATAATTGCTTCTAAAAGTCCAAAATGGCCCTTTTTGTTCACTCTACCTCAAGCTTCAGTCCATGAGCCATGACTTCAAGCACCCTGTTGTGGATCGGAAGACATAAGTCGAAGAAGTTGCTGAATGTTGCTTTGAAGTTTGGGCATTCTGTTTCCAGGGGCCACACCTTTATGCCAAATACAATGTAGCACGGTAAATACATGTAATAAAGATTGTCAAATGGATGTGGAAGTGGCCAAGGGTAGTTTGCAGAGGGGGCACACCAAGTCCCTCCCTAAAAGAAACCTAACATTTTTCTTTATTGAAAATATTAAAAGGTGATTTTTTTTTGGTCATTTTATTTCTCTTCCTTTGAAAAGCGCATAAACAGCCCCCAAATTAGCCTCATCCCTCAAAAAGCAGGTCAAAAAAGGTTGCTTGAAAACTATATCCAAACTTTTTGGTTTCCTAAAAATCAAGTCTGGCCCCCTCGAAAATTTGGTTCTGGATTTGCCCTGGGGAGTTCAGTGGTGTGAGGCTACGAATTGCTAACAAAAAATTAAAAAACCTTACATCACCAGCAACCATGGGGTTAAAGTTGAAACCTTCCTTGAGATCACCAAAAGGTCGCTTGGGATTGGTGCTGCCATGAAAAAGTAAAATAATATGGCCAGGCATTAATTTCATAGTCACTATTGCACAAGTTAAGAAATGGCCGCATAGAAAAGGCCACTTTATTTTCAGAAAATGCACACAATTGTATGAATTGCAACAAAGTACTCAGCTCACTTTTCCCTCTCAAGATGTACGTAACCATGGCTACCTCTGCCAGGGATGCGTGGGTATTTCTGTTTGACCTCCAGGGGAAGATCGAAAAATGCCTTGGACACCTGATACATTTCTTCAACCTTTACAAAAAAGACCGGACAATTAAAAACCTCTTACCAGCAATCACAGAAATTTTGAAATCAAAACATGGAACTCTATTGCTTATTTACAAAAATGTACTTAATTATCATCATTTCAGATTGGTTTGGAATTTTAGATTCAATAGACTGGTACTTCACAAGCTGTGGATAACTTAATTTGTTTTTCTTACATGCATAATTAGTACAGATCAATTAACATATTAATTAGACTGAACTCTCGAGATGGACTCGTAGGTAGTGAAGGTAAGGGAATAAGCCTTTTTGCAAGTTAAATTTGAATAAAATCTTGTACGCTGAGTTCTTTAAACAATTTGAATTCTCCACACTAAAGATACTTATGCTAAACCGTGATTCGGGGCAAGCTTTTGCACGGGGACCACCATTTCTTGAATGAACTAATTCTTTTGTGCCCGTCTTATCCATTAAAACAGTGTATTGGTACAAGGCATTTCTTATGTAACTATAAGCAAAAGCCTGCCCCGAATTCAAATCTTCTTCATGTGCAAGAAGATAACTCAGTGCACCAGATTTGATTCAAAATCAACTCGCAAAAGGTCTATTGAAGGACATTTGCTTCTCTAAAACATTTTGAAAGTTGTGTCTCGGACCAGGTACAATTACCTGTTATTGAGGTTTACAACATGCTCCCCACTCACACAAATGCACGCTTTTTCTGAAGCTGTGAGGACTGCACGTGTTGAATGACAATTATTGTAGAAGCCCAAGACTTTGTGGGGACATGGCAAAGTCCCCACAACTTTGTTCAAAACTTCGAATCTAATGAGAGAAGTCTCTAAAAGACATGGTGATGGGCTGGACACAAGCTGGTGCAAATCAAGGATTTTTTATTGCCTAAAACTTATTCACACTTAGTTCATCATGCTCTGTACCTCCTCAACCACTTGGTGCCGGGGGTTTCCGGTAGCAGCTCCTTGGGTTTATGTGCATAGCCAGGCTGCCCCAAATTGGATAAAAGAGCTGGGCCTTATAACAAAAGACTGTACTTGGAACAAAAGACTGAGCTGCTGGGAATTGGCAACATTTTTTCAGTTGTCAGAGGAGGAAATCCATCATTATATCCCTGTTTTTGGCATTCAGCTGGAGTGGATTACCACTGAAGACAAAAGCACTCCGGGGATGAGTGATACAATAATGGTTAATAGTTAGGACTTCCTCAATCGGATCTATGTCTGCACTTAAAAAGGATTTTCTTTGTGTCTACCCTCAGTTGACACCAAATGTGCATATTCACACACGCAAAGAAACATCCTTTCAGACTTCTCCCTGCAATTCCATACAAGTATGTCAGAGACATTTCACAGTAAGCTGTGCATGAGAAATACCAGAAAAGAATGAGGCTTCACAAAATTGTACTGGGTCATCATTTCTGACCTTTTCCTGAGGAAAGTCAGTGTTGACGATGAAGAAGAAGCCAATGGTCGTCAGCGCATTGTGTACATCATCAACAAGCTTCTGAAACTGACTGGGGTCAGGTTTGTCTAGAGACAGACGGTAGGCGCTGAAGTCAATGACAGGAATCTCAGAGGATGAGTCACCCATGATGAAAGAGGTACTGTATCCGGGAAGAACCAACGTAAAATAATGGGTAAAAGGTAATTTCTCTCTAAATTATTCATATGTAATACCAAACCACTGCAGACTGCTTGCTGACTACAGTGACCTAAAATACAAATCACAAAATATGGAGTGCCCGACGACTCGATCCCAGTAGAATCTTTCTCAATGGCAAAATGACAAGTGGACAGGGCAAACAAGCAAGTGGGAAATCAACCCGAGCATGGATGTCATTTTGCCTTTGAGAAAGATTCTGCTAGGATCAAAATGTCAGGCCCTCCATATTTTGTAAATTATTTATAGTTATCAAACCTTACATTTCACAGTAGAGGAAGGTGCTTCGAGTAGAATGACTGCATACATGTATATTTGCTTACTTTCAGTTAACATCATCTTTATGTGCATGTAGTTTGAAATGGTAACTTGAAGAAATTGCTGACTTGCTATGGAAACACAGCTTCGCTTTATAGTCTGGGTCATTTGTGAAAAAAAACATATTTTTCAGTTTTCCTCTAACTTCTCAAGTGTGAAAGGGGGCAAAAGAAGTCAATTTTTAATTACAAATTTAAAATGGACCAAGCACTAAGGAACTTTTAAAATAAACAAAATACATGTATATCAGTGAGTTGTGAAGGTTTATGCACGGTGTGGGAGGAGGGAATGCCAATACTGATTTAATTAGTTGGCTCTTAATTGGCAGTGATTTCACTCCAGATAGATGGAACAGACTGTGATTTAGTTTGCTAAAACAAAGATACCTACTGAAAGAATCGCATATTACTTAAATACTGACCTTCCCTTTCCACTCACAATTTCAGTCAATGATGCACTGAGCAGCTGGTCTATTCACTCAGTCCTAACTGAAGACAGTGTGCGATCATCCTGACAAGTGGCATAGCGAACAAATCAAGATAGTTTTTCCCAATAAGCCATTTGCGAGTAACCTTTAAAAAAAATCTGGTAGTCCAAGTTCTCCAAATTCATGTGAACATAACAAGTTGAATTCTCCGTGCTAAAGACTCTGTTGCTAATGCTATATCACGTGATTTGGGGCAAGCTTTTGCTTAGTTACATAAGAAATGCCTTGCATCAATTTACTGTTTTCAGTGGATAAGAAAGGCACAAAGGAATCAGTCCATTCCAGAGATGGTGGTCGCTATGCAAAAGCTTGCCCCGAATCCGAGGTATAGCAACAGTGTCTTTAGTTTGGGGACTTCAAATTGTTATGTTTATGTGAAACATGAAAGCAGGACATGCCCAAATGTTAAAAGGGGGGTTTGTAGAGTCCAAGTTACTCGGACTAAGGCACTATTCATGTCTGGTCAAATACTCCTCCTAAACACCGTCAGGATAGTACACCGGCATAACCGGAAATCACTCGACACCATACGCAAAACCCCCTAAAAGACAAGTCCGGAAAAAAGCTAAGTAAATGCTTCGATATTTCCCCTGCTAAATTCGACTTTTTCGGACATGTTTTCGCTTTTTGAACAGCTACAGGGGCAAATAAGTGATGTCCGCAGGGCCTAGTAGTAGAGGATTTTGCTTACCCGGTGTGCCAGATCATGAAACTTATCGCTCGCTATTCCTCCATGCCCTGTCTATGGTCAGTTCACGGAGGAATAAATTCCATTGTCAGTTTGCATCTAGTGCCCATACTGCGGCCGAATGGTGCCCCTTCCAATTTCCATATCAGTTGGCATGGCAGTGGTCATACGACTCATGTACCCAGTCCGGTGACCGGTGATACACGGTCGGTCAAGGCCGCTGCTGTATCAGCCACCTGTGTAGATGTACAATACATGTATGCCTAGGCCTTTCCAAGTGTGTGAACGTACGTGTATGTGTATCGCGGCCTCGATCGCGGACCACGTGTAGACTTCTTCATTTTTTAGGAGAGGGTTGTGAAGAAATGAAGTGGTCTTTTTTTCTTAGTTTTTACAGCTGTTCCGTTGCATTTTGCTTGCACCAACAGCAATATATGTATAATATAGGATTCACTGCATTCGATTTAGAATCGTGCTGTCCGTACACTGTACCGAAAAAGAAAATTCATACCAAACCCCACCATATAAATGGATCGGTCCCGGGATTGACCTGAGAAGGTCAAGTCAACAAAATACAAAGTTTGTTTGATATGACAGGTTTTGCGGCATGCGGCAGGCGGTGTTTGTGTTTTTTCATGTCGTATCGTGCATGTAGTAGGTGGAGAGCAAGATAAAAATGTTCAGAACTGAGCGTAGGAATTACTTTTGTACGTGTTTTTTGACAAACAACATTTTCATACAAGAATATAACCTGCATGTAACGTATCACAGTGATGAACGCTTTCAACAAGACTGGAAAAAGGTAGGTAATTAATTTGGCCCAGTATCCGGACGGCGTTCTCGCTGTCGCAGGTTGTTCCTTTTATTCATCGCACTCATGTCTGGGCGAAGGAGCAGCTCTACATTCACTTTGTACAGGGATTTGCATTTTTTTTTTTTTGCTGCAACATGTTAAAATAATTGAAATCTTTTCAGTACCGTGTGGGAGATATTCATAGTGAATAATAAAAGTGAAATTTCAGGCAATGGGGCCTATTTGATGTAGCCTAAAGATTAAGAGTTTACATGGTTAGGTCAATAATTCAGATTTTCCCCATAGACCACAACATTATTTTTTGCCCCTTTGAGGTCCAAGTGTGAAATATGGATTAGCCACCAATTGACCAATCAGAGAGAAGAATCGAGAACCAGTGACGTCATCCTGACCACGAGAATTTTAAAAATAAATTAGGCCATGGAGAAGGTCCACCGTCACTCATCAGAAACAAGAAGTTTAACGTTAATGCCTTTCTTATACCATTGAAGAAGAAAAAGAATATCAGGCCCTACTAGGTCACGAAAAGGCATACTGGCCACTCATTTACATTTTTGTTGTACATATACTGTTGTTTTTATATTAAACTAGTGTACAGTGTTTTGCAGCCCACACAAATTATTTAGCCTCAGAACCCCCTATGGTATTTAAAATCATATTGAAATTGGAGAATTGAAGACTGTTAGGGGTTAACCACTTTTGAAAAATAAACACTGCAATAGGCCTACTTGCAGTTAGACTTGAAATGTTCAAGACTTACAGTATTAAATTATGACTGTTTGGATCAAATTGATAAGATTTAGAATAACAAATGACTGAAGAAATACAGTCAGCCCCATACCAGGTAGGGCCAGTCAACTTGACTACCTCCAAAGGCAAAGACTAACAGTCAGCAATTTATCAATTTATTTTAAAATTAAAATGGTTGATGAGGTGTAGTTTTCTCAACTGGGTTATTTAGCAGTAGTTATAACTGAAGGGATCCAAATAACACTCCAGTACCATTTTTAAAATACAAAAATAAAGTAATTTAATGAACTTGTCAATAAATTAATCTTACACTTACATACCTGTGCACCTGGTATGTAAATATACATGTAAAACACTGGGGTAGGCAAAGGTGGCCTCTTTAAAGTGTTAGTTTAATGTTTGAATGATAGGAGAAATTTGTTCTAAATGTTCTCAGTGATTTCATTTCTATAAGCTGAGTTATATTAATAATTTAAGTTTGACATTATGTTCGCAAGTTTATAAGACAAAAAAGCCAACCAATACCATAAGTTCAGATTTGGTCTTACAGTTGTTTTTCTTCACATGAAATTGTATTACATGTACATGTATATTGCCACTTCTCATAGGTGGCTAAGGAAGTGAAAAACAGTGCCCCAAAACTGCCATCAGGTGGGCATTAACCCTAACCCTCCTCAGTCCTCCAACAGGTGAAGGATTGAGGAGGGTTAGGGTTAAGGATGTGAGGTTTGCGTGTTTAATCATTTAAACAAAGGAAAGTTCAGTAAATGTTTACAGATTTTCCTAAACATTAAAGGGAACCCATTTGACATGATTTAGCATTCCTTTTTAAACAGCCAAATTAATATATTTCTCCTGTTTGCCTAGTGGTTTTTTCCATACTGTATCCATCGACTTTTTGGGGGGAAAATTGAATTTAAAACATGAATTAGTGCTAAGTTGAATGCCCTCCTAACATCAATCTACATTTGGCTGATTATGTGCATTGTTGGTGAACCAATACATGCATAAACTCTAAGCCTAAAGTGTTGGCTGAAGGTTAAAATTGTACGGGAAAAGTGTCGTAAATATTTATCAAATTAAGCATATTTTCTCAACCACAGTGGGGAACAGCAGTAAATATGTCCAAATTTGCCTTTACTTTTCACCACTCTGGCCCAGGTTCCAATACCACCACAAGTCTTCAACCTCTCCCCCCCCCAGCCCCATATATTTATTTAGATATGCACTGCTCATTTGTTACAGATTTTGAAAAGAAAAGGATGTAGCGAGCAGCAGTGGGAAGAGATTCTTCAAAAGGTAAGAAGCATGGTTTCATCTATTATCTGCCCCTAGTAGGACCATAGAGGGTGGAACTTTCCCAGCAGTAGAGCTGTAGCTGCATTTCATTGGTGCACGAGCCACTATGAAAATTTTGTTATAAAAGTAGCATGGAAACTCCAATTGCACCTTAGGTCATTCCATTTCCCAGTGCGGGCTACCACAGCACAGTGCTCCCTACGTCCTGTGTTATCAGGTTGTGCACCACCTTTACCAGATGCCCAATTCCTGAACTCGACCTCATCAGTGCCATCCTGACAAATCCATGTACCCACATGACCTAGCAAACCAATACACCAGCAAAGAATACAGAGTCCACTAGGTTTCTCCGGTGGTGTGACTTGGATAATATGGGAGAGTGCTGTTCTTTCATCAGTTAATTGGATATTGAGCCATAACATTTACCCCTTCTCCAAAATAATGCAAAATTAATATCCATTCCAACAAACCTGAAGGCCTTCTTGCTGAAGATCATTACAATTGATCCAAAACTTGAATGGCATCAGACACAGGAGGAAATTAGTTTCCTCTTGAGACTGTGGCGCAACCAAGGCACCTCCCGTCTTGTTGCACTAATCTCTTGCTTCTAACCATGTCAGCTTCTTCATAATGGCTTTGTAACATTTGCCACACCACTGGATCCAAGGAGGAGGACATGCCTCTTTACGACCAATTGAGGCCTTCCACATCTCATGACCACCAGTAAATGTACATGTGCAGCCATCAAATGAAGGCTGATCAAGCAACAGAAGAGCTGTTTGGGCAGCATCATGTCTTTGGTTTTTAATCGTCTGATGTCTAGTGATGACATGATCAGCCTAGTTGTCAGTACGGAACTTTAATTTTTGAAGGAGGAGGTACAACAGGTTTAAGCTTGGATTTTATACTATGATGAAACCATGCTGTGAATTGAACAAAAAAGAGATCAGAAGTTAAATTCCCCTGCAAATTGAACAAGATGTTTGATCTACCAAATGTACATGTGTGCATACCGGTATAAAACTATGTGTTTTAACCACTTCCTGCCGGGGACTCCGGGATCGAAGACGTATGGTTTACATGGGTGGCCGGGGTCTCCGAACTCGGACAAAGGAAACAGGGCCCTGTAACAAAAGACCGTACTCTGAACAAAAGACCAGGCTGCTGGGCATGACCAACATTTTTCACTCTCAAAAGTGGTGATAATCCAGCCTTGTTTTGAAACCGTATACCAGGGTTTGGGGCATTGAGAGCGAGCAGATTACCACCGGAGACAAAAGCGCTCCACCGCAGCGACGATGAGCCACACAGCACCA